ACAAAAAAAAAAAAAATGTTGAAGCATGGATACTTCATATCCAGTACTTTGATATTACAGCACTTGGTCATCCCTGAGGATGACCAGCTTCTCATCTTCCGTAGCATGCCTTGACGCTCATTCTCCAGCACTAGGAGAGAAGATGGAGTCTGCAGATGCTTTAGTGACTGCACTCACAGGCAGACAGACCGATACTAGGAAATTCAGTAACAGGTCATTATGTCTTTTGTCTTGTGACAAGATATCCACCCTAAAATGATGACAGACACAATAATAAAGAACAAGATGGGGTGTTAACGAAACAGTGTCTAATTAAGCCATCAGGGCGAGCCATGTCTTGGGAGATCCAGTTCAGCAACTTCTGAATCACACCAAGACATGAAATCCAGGAGTGCAATAGTTTCCTCAGATCGTTTTCTCTGTGCACAAAGGTTCAAAGAACTGGACAGAGAAAAAACAAAGAGCGTCCAGGCAGACGTGAGGTGAGGATCACAGCGAGCATTCCACATCCTGAGCTGAGGTTCTCTGCAATGGTCTTCCCTTTTAAAAAAGCTGATCCTTCTTTTCAGGCTGAAGCAATACAACTTCAGGACCCTTAGAGATATTGGGATGCTCATCTTAATCATAAACCATGTACAGTAGACAGCTACAGACCTTCATTCAGAGCTGCTCCTGTAACTGCTGCATATCTCCCAGGACATCTTAGACTTTTGAGGACTTAATTACCCTGATCAGCATTTGCAAGGCCATTGATTGGCTGATAGCAGCACAGCATCTACCCAAGATGTGTGGAAGCTGAAGTAGCTTTTTCTGTCCAGGAAGAAAGATGGTCTTGGGCCAGTATTTTTCTCACTTGTGGTGTTCCCCAGAATTAGTGGCACAACTTCAGTATCAACTCGGAGCTGATCCAGGCTCAACCAGGTGGGAGCTGAGGAGCTGCTTAGCTCCACGTTCGCTGTAAAGCCACCTTACTCGATGCACGTTTCTCCCACAATTTCCCAAACATTTCAGTAAGGCAGGTTTCATTGTATATGACATTTGCCTCTAAAAATAGTCTTTGTGCAATTCACATGGAAGGGGAAAGCAATTGCACCTCTACTATGGGAAAAACATTCACTCCCTTTCCACCGGCTGACTTCAGAGCCTCTTCGGTGATGATTACCATCATTTTTTCTGCTGAGGTTGCTGACATGGAGGTGAAATGACCTCTCAGAGTCTCTCCAGACCTGGATCCAAACCAGTGTTTAAGGTCAGGACGGCTCCACCTTCTGATCTCCAGACAGGGTTCAGGTCCATCTCCCTTCCAGCTATAGAAAGTGATTTTCTTTAATCACTCCATGTTGCAAGTTGAGGCTGGAAATTTGACACCTAAATATTCCAGAAACCTCAATGCTTGCTTAAATAAAAGCAGTGTCTCAACACAGAGCTATGGCCCTACCACCTGTGACAGTCTTTGCCTCAACACTGCTCCACAAGCACTACGTGCCCTGTTCCTCTCAGGTGCTCTAATTGATGGGCATAACAAAGGTTACTGAAGCTCTCACCTGAAGGTGCATATTCACTTGTGAATGTTGCAAAAATACTCAAATGCAATGTTTGTTCTAATGAATGTCTCCTCCTGATCTCGGTTGCTCTGTCCTCTTCAGGCCAACAAGCACAACGATTATAAACCACTTTTGTAATGAGTCTGAGCTGATTCCCTCTATCTTTGTGCTTTGAAGGGCCGTATCCCAGGAGCATATCTCAGCAGAAGGGCTATTTTGATAACCACATGGTGCTACCTAGAAAGCAGACGGGCAGGTTCTCCAGTGCTGGAAAGTGTCCTAGTTCCTGCCTTCAGCAGAGCTACGACTGCAATTCGTACTGGTGGAGCAGCAGGTGAGGCCTGAGTCATGGTTAGGTCTTGGGTTGGGATGTTCTCCTCGCTAGCAAAGACTGGTGACCAAATCTAAGCAGCTCCCAGAGCCAGCCAGGCAGGCAGAAAGGCAAAGCCCCACCTGCCATGAGGTAAGAAAGGAAGTTGCACGTATGAAGTCACGCTACAGGAGAAGACGACGTGGTCTAAAATTCAGGTGTTCTGTCCTTCAGTTGCCAAATGGTTATTAACAGAGGAAGTTACACCACAGCTCGAAACAGGCTTCTTACACCTGCAGCCCAGGAACCCCAACTGCTGACGGGTACCAGCTCAGCCTGTTGCAACAATTGCATCTGCAGAGCGTGCTCTGATAAGAGCTCTGGTAAAACGGTGGAGACAGGACAAAGATAGTCCCAAGACAACCAAACGTGATGCAATTCGCCTCCGTGTGGGATGCGTCGTCACCGCTGCTGAAAATAATCCTACCATCAGAAATGAGGACTCTTTGACTTGTATCCTGACAGCTCCCTGGGATTTTGAGGATGGTAATCAGTGAGCTACTTTCACTCAATATAGTTTTTTACGTGGAATAATGCTTATACACGTTACCTATGCTTGTACGAAACTGTAAACACAACAAGCTCCCTTTATTTCACATGTAGATTGGAACTTCTTTTCAAATGCCATTCAGGCACCTAAATGAGACCAGTGTCCTAATTCCAGTTGGATGTGATAAATCTTGTATACTGTTAAAAAATCCCTTTACTTTTCACACGATACATGGAGATAAACTCAGTTCCCTCTTCTGTCACGTTTGAATAGGCGATTGCTGCATCTTCTGCACCAGGGAAAATAACATGAACTCAAAATTGTGTGTTCTGAAATGAGAGAAAAACGAAGCTCTTTGTGGGGAAAAAAAAAAAAACTATCCATCATGAGTTGATAGAGTCACAAGAAAGTCACTTTAGAGAATTTATTGATGAAAAACAGGTGAGAGAAATACAGATCAGCCCCCTGGTCTTAAAGCTCAAATTCATCCTAAGAAGTGGGGGCATCAGCTGACACAAAATGACTGATGCATAGATGTGGTTGACATCACACCAAGGTCCCTGATCTCAGTGGGGTCTGCCATGAATGTATTAACTTGGGGGTATCACCTTTATTCACATAGAAAATTTTTTGTTAAATCAGATTAGTCAGAAAGGGGATTAAAAGGCATTCTGCACCAGAAGCCGTCTCTTCACAATGCCTACGTGTAAAACAAGCCTGTGGAGGAAACGCACAATGGCAGTTGTGAAAGAATGAGCTCATTACCTAGGAGGACTCATTCCCAGAAGGCAGGGCTTTGAAACCATATAAAAGTTCTCAAATCTCCGTGCTCCACCATCCACTCGGCTTCGTGCTTCTCCCTGTTGACCGGTTGGGTAAGTTGGAGAATACTGATACTTTTTGTGATGTCTGTAATTTTACTGCTTGGCTTAATGTAGGCAGACTCTTTAAAGAAGTGTTTTATTTGATACTTTTGAATACGCAAAAGATTAGAGATAAATAAAATTATGTTGGTTTAAGTATAACCGATCCTGCCTTCAGGGAAGAAGGAGGTCTAAACGTCCTCCTAAAGCTCCTTCCAAATCTATTTTCTGTGATTCTGTTATTTAGAACAAGAATATTTTTAAAACTTCAATTTCATTGAAGAATTATTTTGTAAAAGGTAGATTTGGGAGAACGAGAGGCTGTACGGAGCAGAAGGGTGAAAGTATTCCTGGTGTGCTCTATCATTGACGCTAACCATGTCAAGAGCAATATATTAATTTGGCTTAAGATCTTATCACGTCCTTATAAAGAAAATAGCAAGAGACAAGTGATATTGATCTGGAGGATCTGGTAGGATGTAGAATAGAGGAATTAATTTGCTTTGAAGATGTACTGAGAGGAGTAGGCAACACGGAGAAGGGAGGACAAAATTGCATGCTCTCACATGATCTGTGCTGGTGCTAGTGCTGCGTTGAGGAGAGTTAAAAATGCCCCTTCCAGCCAACACTTCTGTGATTCTAACCTTTTATTTGTGCCCTTAGATTGTCTTTAGAAAAACAGCAACACAGGCTTTACCAAAGACACACCATCAGTCCAACCGAGCCTGGTGCCTGCCTTCAGCAGCCCATAAAACAGAGGCAGTTTCATAAATTGTTAGGAAAAACCATTTGGCCTGTTGCACATTACTGGCCTTGAGAGAAGAAATCCCTCCTGATTATTCTGAGTCATGCAAGCTAATACATTATTAGTGGCCACGATAATCCAGAAAGAGAGGGATGCATTACCTCTGCTAATTCTTTCCATGACAGTTGGAAAGACTGTGCCACAGGTAACCTCAATCCATTACATCAACAATGAAGTCAGAGAGAAACCAGAGCAAGAGGAGGAGTTGGCCTGTTGTTACCATAAAGACTCTTAATATTACAGAAAAGGTGTCAGCTTACTGGAGAGGATCACCTTGAGGCTTTAGCACCTCAGGTTTCTAATTCCAAGTAAAATCTGGAAACTGTTTTAAAAAGTGCAAAATGAAATGAAGTATTTCAGTTTTGTCGATGTAAAATATCCGGTTGGGCCCAGATTTCTATTTTTCTACTTTTTGATGCACCAAACATTTTTAAACGTTTGTCTTCAGCATTCCTTATTTTTTTTATTATTATTTTGACTTTCTGAAACCGCTATCAAACCAGCAGATCTGTTATTTGCCAGCTCCTCTCATCAATTCCCCAGGACAGAAATGAAAGGGAGTTGGCACGTTGGGAAGAGCTAAGCGACAGGAGGAAGAGCTCTGAAGTGTAAATCAGCTCCAAGTTCAAAGGAATGGCTCTACCTCAGTTAGACCTGACAGGGCTGTCCCACGTTGCAGAACAGAAAGGAGGAACAAGATAAGACGGAGTCAGAGCAGGAGCTGAAAGGCAGGATGAAAAAGAAAGAGCAAATCTCTATTCTTTCCGAGCCAGCCTGCCTTGGGAAACCAAGGGCAAACTAAGAGAACTTCGCTTTTGCAACTGATTCGTGTTTTTTGTAATCGTTTCACCCTTATCCCAATGCAGTTTGTTTAGAAGACACAATAACACTCTGACATTTCTTTCAGATAATCTTGTTTCCTGCAAAGATGTCTTTGAATCAAACGCAAATCAAGCAGGAGATCACCCTCCCACCTGGCCTGAGCAAAACAATCTCAAAGCAAAGCCAAGAGCCTGTGTCATGCACTGAGCCCGTCTCACATCCACAGCAGCAACCTGAAGTCCTAGTCCCAACACCTTGCCCAGAACCAGTCCCAGTTGTAGTGGTACCATGCCCAGAAAAAACAGTGCCATTGCCAACACCGGTGGTGGAACCAGGCAATGGAGAAACACCAGTGGTGGTAATACCCCAGGAGCAGCAGCAGCAGCAATGCAAGCTGCCACCAACTCTCCCAACCATATCATGCCCTGAGCCTGTTGAAGAGAAATCAGCGTGCAAAGAGCTGCCTGTGCCAGCCCCTGTTTCCTGCTCTGAACCGACTCCATGTGTGCTGGAGCAGCAGGAGTGCAAGGAGATCCCTGTGCCAGTTCCTGCCACCAGCTCAGAGGCTGCAGAGTGTCCCCAAGAGAAGCAACAATGCAAGGAGATCCCTGTGCCGATCCCTGTTCCATGCCCTGAACCTGCACCATGTTCCCAGGAGAAGCAGGAGAGCAAGGAGATCCCTGTGCCCACCTCATGCCCTCCAGAGAAGCAGGAGAGCAAGGAGATCCCTGTACCAATCCCTGTTCCGTGCCCTGAACCCACACCATGTGCCCAAGAAAAGCAGCAGTGCAAGGAGCCCCCTGTGCCAATCCCTGTTCCAAGCCCTGAACCTGCACCATGTCCTCAGGAGAAGCAGGAGTGCAAGGAGATCCCTGTGCAAATCCCTGTCCCATCCTCTGAACCTTCGCCGTGTCCCCAGGAGAAGCAGGAGTGCAAGGAGATCCCAGTGCCCACCCCATGCCCTCCAGAGCAGCAGGAGAGCAAGGAGATCCCTGTGCCAATCCCTGATCCCTGCCCTGAGCCAGAGAAGTGTCCTCCCATCGAGCAGCAACAGGTGAAGCAGCCCATCCAGTGGCCCCCCACGCAGAAGTAACTTGCAAGCTGACAAGGGAAGCCCTGAAGAGAAGACCACCACCGCCAACCCAGACCTCCTCTCCCTGTGTCTCGCAACCAGAGGTCATTTTCCAACACCCTTCGGTTCTCTGCAGAATTCCTGTTAAGAAGCACAGCTTCCAACTCCCCCCAGCTAACGCTAACGATGTCCTGTACTAACAGCCATACGCTACCTGACACGTTGGGACTCTCCATAGATGATAAGGCTTCAAGCGGTGCCGTAGGCACGTGCGTTCAGCTTTCCCGCAGCCGGAACTTCTACCCTCTCCCAATCATCCCGCTGGCTTTTAAAGACCCAGAGAGAGACCAAAAAAGCATGATGGCACGCACGAGTCAGGGTTGATTAAGGTAAAATATTCCAACTTAACCCAAATGCAGTTAGGGACCTAGAGCTCATCGTCCAGACCCACACGCTGCCTCTTGGTTTCCACGCCTTCCTCCCCCAGCTCCCTGTACACAAATGTCATCTCCCACCTTGCACTTAGGGTTTTTGCCTACTAATAATAGGATCTGAGGTTTGTTCAGAACCTGCTGCTAAGGGGTTCTGGCCAACGGCAACAAGACTTTCTGAATCATGGATCCATAGTACTGAATATTTTATGCAATTCAAAAAAAAATCCATTGGGTTAGAGGAAATAAAAAGATTTTTACAATAGAGCCATCACCTCTTAATTATTTGCTTAGCTGAATTGGTAGTAATCAGCGCTTTCCTCAGAGACCTCACCTTGGATTTTCTGGGATGTGTGAAAGAACAGCTCAAGCCGAGAGTATTTATGGAAAAATATATAGATAATTAAATCCAATCCAGACATGTTTTGAAATAGATTAACCTCAGGCGTGGCTTCCATCTGCTAGACGGGATAAAGGAGGAAGCACACACAGTGCTGTCTCAACTACACCCTGGAACATGTTTCACCACACGGTGTTGTTGCAAATGTATTTGGTACTTACCCCTAATTATTTTAGGCTGATATTGTATCCAAGATTTATTTCACTGTGAAAAATCAACAATAAAAATGACTTTGAATACCAAGTTGTGGAGATTTTTAATAGCTTCTGCTTACAAAGATGAAAAGGAGTCTTAGCTTGCACCAGTCAGTCACTTTTAAGCTCAAAGCTGGGCAAATCAGGACTCAGAAAAGCAGGTGCTCGCAGGGGACCCTGGGTCTGATGCTCCTCTCCAGGTGCCCAGGTTGGAGAACCTGCAAGAGTCCCTGCACTGTGTCAGTCCGTGGGCTGGCCAGTGACACTGAAACACTCATTGCACTCGAACACCTCTCAGCAAGACACCCCGTCCCAGAGCTCGGCACACGGCATCGGCTCACACCCAGCTGTCCCCATGGTCAACCTGCCCAATTCAAACACGTTCACAGCCACTCTCTGACCTTCGGCAGACACAAGGCATGGGCACGTCTACAGGGCAGGTTGCAAACACAAGCAAACAAGTTTTTCCCACACTTCAGATGAGCCACGAGCGATGTAATCTCACCGCTTTGGCCCTGTATCTGTTAGATGGGTGTTAGGTACATCCAACCTCATCGTCTGATCACAGGCTCACGCTGAGACACACACTTCTGGTTTGCAGAGCAAGCTTACATCTGCCTGCCAGACACCAACCTCATATCACTCAACAGTTTCTGTGTATGTAATTTTCCTCCTCTACTCTGCCATACAGCTGCCTGGAAATCAATTAGTTGAGCCAGTTATGTCCTGCTGAGAAACCAAAACATTCTGAATCCTTTTTCTGATCCTTTGAAAGCAGAATTCACTCTTTCTGAGCAAGCAAAAGCTTCCTTTCAATGTTAAAAACTTCCAAAGAGTAGTTTCAGTAGTTATACTATAGTTGACACTTTATAGACCCATAAGAACATTCTTCAGAATATTCTATCTTGCCAAAAGCTGAGTTTCTCCAGTTTGCTCAGTTTCAGGACAAAAACAGCTTGCAAGAATGCCCTGAGGTGGGAAACATGTTGATCCTGAGCTGGTTTTGACACTCAGGCAGCAGCTCTGCCCCAAAGGACCTTGAATTTAAATACTCCTTCCAGAAACAGTAATCACTGTGTGTGCTGTTTGCTCTAGACACTTTCTGGTCTACCTGGTCATCCTATTAATAGCTGTAGGTTTCTGGACCTATCTAATAAAAATATGGACAAATGATTCCTTGGGAAACCTGGAAGGTAAATGCAAATGGGTCCCTGTGTACGTGTGCCTCATACGTATGTTTAAAGGTAATTCTTCGGCTAATAAAAGAAAGCAAAAGAGAGCAAATAACACCAAAAAAAATAAAATCACAGAGCAAGTAACGA